CAGTCCTCGCTCGGATCCCGCCGCCATGGTGGTAACGCTAGCACCGTCGTACCCTGTTTTCCCGTCGCCCCCCTGCCGTGGGTGACGGACGGTTTCATGTTAAGGAAGTTGTGGGGCAAGAGAGGGGCGGGGACCCGTAGGCAATGCGTGTTGTAAAGAGCTAAGCATCCGAGGAATTTGCGGCGAGTTCGTTTGTGTGCAATTCTGTGCGCACACGGAATAGATAAGGTGCCGTTTGCGTGCCTAGTCAGGAAAAAAAAGATAGAGCTACGATTCCCAAGCGTGCGGTAAAATATATTGTTTTTGACTCGAAAGGTACTTCTGAAAGGACCCCTCCGCCGGGGAAGAGTCTCAACTTCGTGTTGTCGTCTTCGACGTTTCGTTCTACCGACTGCTGTGTGCTTGTTGTTCGTTTGGTCGTTTCTTTGGTATATTTGTTTAGGTGTGCAAGGCGGGTCCGTTCGCGCGGACGTTCCCAGGTCTCTGCATTTACCGACGGGGGGAGAGATGTATTATGCCCTGCGGTCGCTCAAGGAACGAGGGACGTATGCTTGTCGATAGAGCGGTATGACCAAAACGGGCCTTGTGAGCGAAGCGCGTCTTGTGGTATCTGATTTGCCCCGGCGCCAGGAAGGGGGCTTGCATCGAACGAACAAGGCTGTTTTCTCTCCCATGTTGAACAAATATGACACGCCGCCAACAAACAAGTTCCTAGTTTGGCCGAAGTCCGGGCCCTTATTTCCTCTGTGGTCTACCAAAAGCCACGTCACGGGATGTTTGTGGTGGAGGTTCTTATCCATGCATCATGAATGTGGGTACCATAGGTCGTGTGTTTTGAAAAGAAATATACATACATACAAGACTAGCAGCCTGCTGCTCCTGTAGCTTCCCAATCTTCAGTGGACCAAAAGTTGCGCACTCATTCTGCGCGCGGAAGGGATTTGGGCACATGCTTAAAGCCGAGGTCACACGACAGCTAGCTACCCACATGGTTGGGTTCGTTCGTGACCCTCCCCTCCTGCTAACGCATCGGCCATCGGTTCGAATCTCGGCGCAGGCACACTGATCTAACAGTAATATGTATGACTCTCATCGTGCCCAAGCAAGTGTGGGCGCATACACAGGCCGTAGTTTGACGAACGGCCTCTATCCATCCTTGCTTGCGTTGTGTCTTCATATACAACAGGGCGCTCGAGTAAGCACCAAACAGCGAAAGAAGGACACACGGGTGTCTACCAGCAGAATAACACTCGTCGCGGGGTGAAGATATAAGGCTACCAAATCACGCGGTATTCTAGAAGAAGGTAGATCACCTCGTGGTAGAAAGATCCCCGGAAGATTTCGAGCCATGTTTTGAGGTGATTGTTTGCAGTATAGGCTACATGGCGGCAGGTTTGCAGGTGGCACAGACATATATCGTAGGCCAGCCGTGCCTCCACATGGGCGAGCTCGATCCACCGCCACCGCACGCACCACCCGACCGCAGCTTTTTGACAGACGACGCATGATCGTATGAACGAACAGGCAGCTACAGAGAGTGTTTTAGCTCTTCTGTGTCAGCGTTATGTATGCATACCGCTCGCTGTATGAGATAAAAAAAACACTCGGACGCGTAGAGTTTTGGTTGTTTGTTTATTTTTCTCCCATCATTGGACCCTGTCGTCTGCCCCTCTGGCCCCTATCCTCCACTTCTACTAGCTAGCCGACCCAACCGGGGTCACATAGGAGGGGGGGGTTGGACCCCCTCCTGCGGTTCATGCCTGATGTATTTTTATCGCGAGAAGGGTACAGCAATCCCTTCCCTCGCGACTTACGAAGTCGACTATGGTTTACTGACAAACGAGCTTTGCAGCGCGTCGCTTTCATCCTAAACCAGGATTTATTTAGTGAGAAAAAACTCTCTCTGCCGGGACTCGAACCCATGACCTGGCCCTTGGCAGGCTGCGAGGCTACCCACTAGACCACCGGGGCGATCGGTGTAGAGTGGTTTTCTCGGAAAAAAACGTTCCCGCAACACCCAGACTATACTCTCCTGTGGGTAGGATGCCGGACTGCTACACTACATTTGCTCGTGACCGAGGATCCCAAGAACAACAGCAGCAGCATTGATTGGTGTATTGTACAACGACCTGCAAGCTTCAGGAGAACGAGGGCAAAAAAAATGCCAAACGAGCTACAGCTACACCGACCGGTGCGTACAAAAAAACATATTTCTGAGAAGGCCCGCTCCGCCTCTGGTTCCATGTTCCTCTGGCCCACTCACCTCCTCCATATTGTTACCCGACCCACCACTGCTGGTGGTGCTGCTTGACCGAACACACCACCCGTGAGTTAACGAGGTCCAGATGAGGTATGAAATCTGAAAGGTGGTCAGCATGAAAGCACAAGGAGGGGCGGCCGTGTGGTGATGGATTTGCTCGTTCATCCATGACCGCGGCGTTCGCGCCGCATCCATCGCGATCCGTCTTCACAACGCGTGCACGTATGAACTATTACTACTCAGCATATATACCGGCACAGCAGCACAGTCAGTTGTTACAGTATATATATATAGTCTTTGACCTTGTCCGCATCGCAGGGACCAACAAGCCGTGACAGCAGCAGCAGTAGTGCCCACCAGTGTGAAATCAGAGGCCTTTAACTGTTTGGGTAACACACTCACGACGGAGACGATGACCACGAGCGCCAGAACTATATAGGGGTTCAGCTCCAGTGCCATTATTGTTGGGTGTTGAATGTCCGCGCTCCGAAGTATAGTCTAAGCAAGAACTTCTTCGGCGGTGGCTGACTGGACGCGTACTTAGCAGCAGCAGCAGCAGCAGCAGCGGTAGGTAGATCCAGCAGGCAGTGCTCCGCGACAACGGATTAGCGGTAACAGCCTGCTATCCGCAACAAGGAAGGTGGTTCTCGGACCCTCAACGTGCGCCCCCCGTTCCACAACACCACGGAATATTCTGTCTGAACTCTATGATTTGGGCTACCGGTGTTCGTTTTGCACGCAGGAGGAGGAGTGGACTCATCACATATGATCGACTTCATAAATCGCGAGGGGAGGGATTGTTGTACACTTCTCGCGATAAAATATCTCAGGCAGGAACCGCAGGAGTGGGGTGCAACCCCCCCCTCCCATGTGACCCCGGTTGGTTCGTCTAGCTAGTAGAAGTGGAGGATAGGGACCAGAGGGGCGGACGACAGAGTCCAATGATGGGAACAAAAAAGATATCAATATATATATCATATGCATATTTCCTCTTGAACATTTCAAATTTTGCGACAAACCATCGAGGTCTTTCTTGTACAGAGGTCTGCACTGAGAGACGCTATTAGACTAGCTATACGCAGCAACCTGCGGTAGGTTGATATTTTTATGTCGCGGTTGTGTTGATGGCGGAGATTTTCCGCCCGTCAGCATGACGAAATGACGACCATGTGTAGTCCTGCTTCCTTTGGCGGCAGCCGCTCGAGCTCTTGGACTCTTGGACCACACGTCTCCACTTTGATCTGTGTACCCACATCATGACATTCCGACAGGTGACAGAATATACTCTTCTTCTCGCCAAGTCACGAAGCAGCAGCCAGAGAGCCCGAGCAACCAAAGATATTCCAGATCTTTCGATAAATAGTTCCGAGACTTCACGCCAACCTTACACCTCTCTGCAGCTGCAAGGGGCACTAGTGTTGGCCGGTGTGGCTGAATCTTCAATGTGGGGACTTCAACACACACTGATCGTTCCCTTCTTGAGCGTGGGTACAGCCAGCCTATGCCATCTTATGCCTACACCAACATCATTTTCTACGAAGTTCGTTGGATGCGTACCTTCAAAACGAAATTCTAGACTCTAGACTCGGCCTTTCGGCCTTATCCGAACCCATCACCTGCGGCGGAATCCGACCGTCTCACAAGCCGAAACGCCGAAACATTTTTTTTTGCAAGGTAGAACCATGCGTGGGGGCTTGTTTTTTGGGGGGTGTGAGCTGGCCGCTGTGACCCAAAAGGGACCAGCTTGTTTTGTGGACTCAGTCCCTACCCATCAGTGCGCACATGGGACCGATGCGATTCCCCTGCCTAGTCCTAGTCTCACTGCTTCTAACCCAAGCCCTGGGCTTTGCCTTTGTTGGCTTGCGTCCTCCTTTGGGCTTGAGCGGAACAAGCAGGGCACGATCCGGCGGATCATCAACGTCACACGAGCAACATCAACAACATCGGTGCTTGCGGATTGGTGTTGGAAGCAGAAGCGGGGCGGGGAGGGAGAGCAGTCTTCTTGCAGGCATCAACGGCGAGGAGGATGACGTCGATGTTGTACCTGCAAGGTGCGGCAAGGAAATGAACTACGTGCCTAATATGGTTACACGAGGGAGGGTCAAGCAGTTACACTTTTTCTCTCTGAGTCAATCGATTGAACAACCAGGAGAGGAAGATTGTACATTGGACCAGGACAACCATACCGCGCAACCCATTTTGCTCTAGAAACATGAGCAACCTGACGCGATGATGTGTGTGTCAGATACGTTCGGCGCGCGGTTGTGCCATGTAGCATGTCGCTTAAAGGAAAACATCTTGGGTGTTGTGGTCTGACTCGCTTGTGCTGATACATCCGGTGGGTCTACGACATAGCCTCATGCCCTCGAACATCGCAACACAGCAGTTCGTAGCATTACCGCACTGCTGTTGCTCTTGCCGGCAGGCGTCGATAACAGTCATGCGCAGTGGCCATTACCCAGTCGAAATTAATGCACAGGTTGGGTGACTGATCGCACGTCCCGGCGACATACGTGCAGCAGCACGCAACAGCAGCAGTGGAACGGACAGCGTGTCGCGTGCACTTGCAGCCGAGCCTTGTCCACCTTCGCGCCACCACGTTCTACCGTTTACTCGGCAGCATCCTTACACCCCAAGCATTTTTCTGGCCGCAGCGTACTTCTTTTGCATGCATATCTGGACACTGGCATACAGCAGCAAGAAGGAGCGTGTGCGCCCATGGTCTCCTCGTAACTTCACTTACCGGTGTGCTTATGACGTCACAAGACCGTCCCACTGTCCCATCCAACCTCGCCATGGCTGCCGCAAGCATTTCCGGGGGGAGGGGGGGGGGTAGGTGCGACGGAAGTACAAGCCCAAAACACGCGGATAGGGGTGGTGTGTACTTTCTCCTCTCGGTGCCCTCCCAAAACCCAATCCCCTCTCGTGATGTTTTGGAATAGGCAACAGCCCCCATGCATGAAAAACATGTCCGAAACTTTAACAAACGTCTAGGGAGCCAGCTCTTTCTCTACCTCCTTCTTGATTGCACCCTGCCATGATCGAATCGATCGGATGCGCGACCATCCTCAGGACCTTCGTCTCCGGCAGCAACCAGCCGGAGCGGATCTGCGTCCTCGGGGGAGGCTTCGGGGGTCTCTACACGGCCCTGAGGCTGCAGAAGATGCCGTGGCGGGGGCGGAGACCAGTCGTCACGCTCGTCGACAAGCGGGACAAGTTCACGTTCTTGCCCCTCCTTTATGAGTTTGCCAGTGAGCTTTCATGCTTTTCCTTTTGCCGTTCTCGTGTGTTGCGGTGTAGCCTCTGTAGGTTCTCCTGACCTTGTTTTCGAAATGCGACCTTTTCGTCGTGCCACAACTAGACGATTTACAAGCGGACGAAAATGAAATGCTCTGTTGTCACGCACCCATCGCGCATGCAATTTGCAACTCTCTCACTATCCCCCTTCCGTATAGGGTTGTCACGACTATGCAGTACACTCTCAAACACCTGCATGGAATGTAGTTTGGGAAACGTCCAGCTGGAATAGATGGGTGGTCTGATCGAACACTACGAGCAGTACCCGGGTTGGAAACACACTCGACACCCTCCTTAACCCCGCTTGTAACGCTGTTGCCTCTACCCATCCCTTCCAAAGCACCAGGGGTGTGTTGTTGTCGTTGTTGCTGTACAGCAGTGGCTGCTTGAGACAAGTCGGAATTGCGGAGCCCGAGGTTGCGCCCTCCTTTCGACGGTCCATCGTGTGGCGGAGAGGCAACATGAAACTACGTTTAGAATCACTATCTCATCTTTGTTCTTGCTCTTACTGTTGACGATGTAATGGCTCGCTCGAAAAATAACGCAGTTGGAAACGCGGAGCTGGACGAGGTTGCCCCGACATTCCGCGAGCTGCTGGCGGGCAGCGGCGTGTCGTTCGTGCAGGGGTGCGTTTCCAACATCGACCTGGATGGCAAAGGGGTGACGGTTGCTGGCGCCACGTCCGATGATCTCGACGGTTTCATGGTCTCCGACAACGCCGACGAAAGTGAGGACATCTTGGGGGTGGGGGGTGCGCACTGATTTTGGTGTCTGCCTCAGTCAGTTGAAAGCTGATCTCGCGTCACCCTCTCTCGAGACAGCGAATAATTCGTGCTTCTGACAGGTGAAGACCCTCTCCTCTGAAATACCATTTCTCTAGAGACAGTGCAGTAGTCATTTTGATGGTAAACCCCGGTCCCCCCCACAACTCCCGTCCCGCGCCGGTTGATGTTGCTTGCGAGCAGCATCTCCAAGATCTTCGAAGCACGGCAGACTGCGTACTTACCGCAATCGAAAATGGCCTCAGGGAAGCTAGAATCTGCGAGCAGTCATTAAAATGGAAAATAAGAAAGTCGCCACAGCCAGACGAACAACAAAAGGGGATAAATAATATTTTTTTAACGGTTCGTAGTTGAATTGGTAAAACTAGTTCTCATGAAGCTACCAATGTAGGTTCAAGTCCTGCCGAACCGATTATAGTCTAGCCAAATTGGTAAGGCGCCCGTTTTTGGTGCGGGGATCGGAGGTTCGAGTCCTTCGACTCTGCAACTCCCGCCGTAGCGCAGATGCGCACAAGGATGCTCCATACTACTACGAAGTACAACATGAATACAGGCTGGTTCTGAAAATGTGCACGAATCTGGCTCACCTGTGTGCATGTATTTTTTTGTTGATGCTGCAGCGAGAACCCTCGAGTACGACAAGCTCGTGCTGGCGGTCGGAGCGGAGCCGGCGTCGGCAATCGACAAGGTGCCCGGGGCGAGGGAACGCGCCATCCCCTTCTACAGCATAGAAGACAGCTACCGCGTTAAGCAGGCCATCATCAAGCTCAAGGTGAAATTTTTTCCTGTTTACGGGCTTGCTACTGCCGTGGGATAGCCAGTCAAGACACCTTTTTCACGCGTGTTTTGTTTTCGAAAACACGGAATAATGGAAGCTCCCTACTCTGTACCACGCTTCCACGTATCCACGGGAACCTCTCCATGGTGCCTGGCATGATGATACGCGGGTGTGGCCGGCTTGGGCGTGCTTCATACAAACCCCGCTCAGTTGCGTGTTGCATGAAGAATGTAGTTTTTTTTTTTTGTGGTTGCACAACTTGTATCGTTGGTCCTTGGTTATCCTCTCGCTGCTGGAGTTTCCCCGGGTCTTCTTCGTCTCCTTGTCGTTGTAACGTGGTGTTTTCTGGTGCTGAGATAGTGGTGGCCATGAGCTTTATCCAACACCGGCTGGCGGCAAATGAAATATGAAGTTTGTTCCGCGTGTGGGTGAGAACGCGTGTCAACGTGCACGGTGACGACACGCCAACAGCAAATTGTAACAGCAGCGACAAGGCACAACCTAAAACAACAACAACAATAGGCCCTCGTGAGGGAGAAGACGGTGTCGCGGGTGGTCGTTGTCGGCGGGAGTTACGCCGGGGTGGAGCTGTCATGCAACCTCGCGACGGAGCTGGGCGGCGGGAGGAAGGGGAAAGGCAAAGTGGAGGTCACGCTGGCGGCAGGCTCCGAGGTGAAGATCGAGCAGAATATTGCCTGCGAGGATGAGACACACATCACGAGGACGTACTTCTCTAATTGTTGAGTTCATCGCTTGTCTATCCTGGGGTTTATTATCTGGGGAAGAGATTAATCAATCCGATGTGTGTTTGCAACAAAAAAAAGAAAAAAACTGAGGATAATGACACACATACGTCGAAGGCGTATCACATACAAGCACGTCGTTGGGACGACACGCACCGCATAAGGATGATGATACAAGCCATCGTCATGAAGATGGTGCATGTGTCGTGAGAGTGGGACATCGTGATGGTCGCCGGGGTGGTGAGCCCTGGGTGTGGCAGTGGGGCACGGACGAAGGGTGTACTGATTGATCGCGTATGGGCCATGTATTCTGCGCACACGCGCCCTCTCAATCGTTGTGTCAACGCGGCCGTCGGCACCTGCGAGTAGGCCTGGCAGGGGGTGTTTCTGCTGCTGTTGTTGTGTTTGGTTGTTGTTGTCGTTGCGGTCATCAGCGTTTCCTTGTTTTGGGCGTGAAATATGGTACAGTAAAAATACGACCACGGTGTGTGGTGCCTCCTTTTCCGTATGCAGCCATCAACGAAAGAAAATAAAATGATTGGTGTTGATAAAGGGCTCGCAAGATAGTCTAGTACGTATATCCGCACATGTAAAACGTGGAAATGTAACAGTGTGAAGCCCTGGTCCCTTCGGCAAAACCCAGGTCCTCGCTATGGCGACTTCCGGCAACCGCGAGGCTGGGCTGCGGCGGTTGGCGGAATCCGGAGTCCACGTGATGAAAGGGGCGAGAGTGTCCGAAGTCAAGGAGGGTGGCGGCGTCGTGCTGCAGCAGGGGGAAGGAAAGGCAAGAACTGTTGCTTGCCGTTGCCTGTAAACTGCTGCAGGGTTTAGGGTTCGTCAGCATAGTGCCATTGCTTCAAGGCAGCAGATGGACGATGCATTTCGGCAGCAGATAACCGATACCTCGAAAACATGATAGCAGACGCACATGACGACACACCGGTTATTGGTGGCAAAGCTCTGATTCCGAAGATAGCGGAGGGACCCCTCGGTCAACGTGGGATGCAGACTCTGAGGACGGACCGGGAAGAGGTTCACTTGTAAGGTCGTGAAAAATCGTATACGTACGTACATGGCGTGTCCTTCAAGCGCAGGGTGGCGTCCCCTGAAGGTTGCTCCGATGTGGAGGAGGGGCGGCGCGCGGTTGCGCCGAGGCAGGGGGATGCCGATGTTGCCCGTGGCTTAACAGAGCTGCAGATTTACGGGATCTTGAGCAGAGCGATAAGCCACACCCTTTTTTATTGTCAAGTCGATGTTGACACATGGAAATGTGTCGATGGGACACCAGCCCGATGACCACAACCGCACCTAGACAGCCCTCTTCACAACAAGCGTCATATGTCATACCCGTTCCCCGGCGTGATTTGAATCGAAATCCCCGACAGGCTCCGCCCCTGGTGCGAGTTATGTTTATGCTACACGCTACGGCATGCATGGCGATTCGTGTCCTCCTCACTCCACCTCACCCCGCGGTGTCGAATAAACTACAAGGCTTTGGACGCTCTTGTCATCAAGCATCGTTTCATACATACCCCTTGCCCTTGTCGAATGTTCTACTCCTGGTTGTACAAGACTTTTGACTCTCGACTACCGGTCTTTTCCCTCAACCAATACCCCTGAGACAAATGGCCACGTAAACACCCACAACCCACCGTCGTGGCTACAACACCGCAACCAATACAGGGCACCGACTCCGCGGGCGGCGAGGAGATAATGGCCGATCTGCTGGTCTGGACAGCCGGCAGCCAGCCCAGCTCGCTGCTCGAGCCCCTCGACGTTCGGAAGGATGCCAGGGGTCGCATCGAGGTCGACCGCAAGCTCCGTGTTGTAGAAGCGGCTGGGAGTGCCGGGGGGGTGGGGGATGTGTATTGCCTGGGGGACATCGCGGCTGTGGAAGGGTTGGAGCTGGGCTGCAACGCACAGGTGTGTGTGCGCGCGTACCTCTTACGGTGTTTCCGGGTTTGAGAAGACGCTGCTATTTTGTTCATGGTTCGAAACAAGCGTGTAGTTTTTTTTTTTTGTGTTCGAGGGAAAAATTGCTGTTGCTGTTGTTGTTGTTGTGGAAGTAGCCTTGGAACCGAGCAACCACGAAGAGAGGACACGAGGACAGCAGTGCGTCCGTCACCAGTTATCAAGGCAACTGCACTTGGTTTAAGCGGCAGGAAGTCAGTGCTGCGTCTGCTGTGGGCGCCCTCGGCAGCTTGGCAACAATCGGAGCCGAAACCGACATCGTGGGGTACAGGCATGATTGCGAGCGAAGCGATTTTGCCTAGTCGCTGACGAGAAAAACACGATCGAACACAGCTGACGGCAGCCACGGACGGATATGACCGAAGACCCACAAGCGCAAGTTCTTTGTGAAAGCTAGCTCTAAGGGTCTCATTTTGTATCGTTCGTCCAGGATGTTTATCACTGCTGTTCGACTTCTTGGCTCTAGCTGTGTAACTCGAGCTTAGCCCCAAACAACCTTGCAATGATCAGTCTCATGATGAAGCCCGCAGGGTATAGTAAAAGTCAATTTTACCCTAAGCTGAGTTGAAAGTGGGTTGGGAATTGCCTTGTCGAAACTTAACTTGGCATCTCGTGAGTTCAATCTCGTCCCTAGCTACAGAGTTGAGGGGCCTCGCTTTAGCTGTTGCCAGGATGGTCTGTTGCCCTGTTTCGTTCCAACTATTTGGTTGGATGTGTCAGGAAACGAATAGCGATAAGGCGTTGTTCTGTTTTGTGTCGTTTCAACCCACTTTTTCAGTGCCAAAAAAGTAACCACGACAATCGATCGACACAACGCACGTTCACGCATTTTTTCGTTGTGTTCGGCGTCCTTTTACGTCTTCCCCAATGATGAACATCACTATCATACAAGCATTTTTTTTGCGTTCATCTCTCTCATGTCATGTGTCACGATTTTTTTTTTTCAGCGGATTTTTTTTCCCACGACAACGCCCCGCATAAAAATAACAAGGTGGCGCTTCAGCAGTCGGATTACGTGGCGTACAATATCTGGGCGGATAAGGAGCGAAGGAAGCCGCTCGACTTTAGGTGGGTGTGCGCGGATGATAAAGTTGTTCCGGCTTGGGATAAAAGTAATCGACTCTAGCTTTGAGGTTTAGCTCCCATGGTTTTCTTCTCGATTCAATTTTTTTGTGTTCGAGTTGTCCAATTGGAGCATCCGACTATTAATTGTGCGCTTTGACTGCTGTGCCGTGGTGTGACGGTTCGCTGTTCATCTGCGAGGTCTTAGTGCGTCCTTCTTTTTTACTTCCGGCAGGGTGCATGATGTAGGCCCCGTACTGGATGGCTTGAACTTTGGTGTATGCGGTATATCGACTCGAGGCGTGCCGTAACATATGTGATAAATAGACAATCTTCCGTTCGTCTTGTTTTCGTTGCTGCTTGGCCTTGTTTTCTTCAACCCTAGATTTTTGAATCTCGGGGAGATGATGAACCTCGGCGGGCTCGACGGTTCCTTGACGACGCTAGGCGGTCGGGTCAAGCTCAGCGGGAAGGCGGCGGGCCTCGCGCGACGAGCCGTATATGCGGTGGGTAGTTCTTGCTGTTTGCCGTGGTGGTGGTTGTTGTTGTTGTTATTGCGCGGCGACAAGTGCCCTACAATAAGACAGCAATCTAGCCATCATATGACCTTGTTGAGCCTGTTGCTCACGAGGAACTCATCACTACTGCCGCATGCTTCTTCCGTGACCTGTGGTACAGAGAAGACGCCCTAAATCAAGAACCTTGGAGTAAAATATCTCAGAGCTTGAGAAAGATATGCTGATTAATTCAGAAGTTGACCGAAACAGGTACTCACTCAAGAAGCCTACCCTCAATAGTAAGTACCTGTTAATTTCCCTAATGTTTGTCAACGTCGGGTTGCCTGAGCAGTTTGTAGCGCCCCACGGAGAAAGTAAGAAACGAGCTTTTGGCAAAGTATGAAATTTTCATCGGCACGTACTTTGTCTGCAGTATTTTTGCATGCAATTCAACAAAACAGCAGTCATTCCCCATGACGTGCTGATCCTGCGGCAGTCCGAAAGTGTAGGGAGAGTTGAATGTTGCCGTTCCTCTGTGAACCAACTTGCGGATTTTTTTTAACCTTAGAACATTACAAACAGCGAATGATACCATCTCCCTCTGTCGTCCGTGGATCACGGATTCTTATGGAAGCATGGCCAACAGCAGTGTTTCTCGTTTGTTTTGTCATCACTTCAAATCAGCGTCTACAGCATTCGTGCCACGTACTTCAACGTGGTCACACGGAAGAGTCGTTCTCCTTGAGGACCCCTACCCACCCCTCCTGCAGTTCTTTGTGTTCAGTGCCATGGCATATATTTCTCAATGCATTCTATTTGGCTATCTATGCCGTTCGTTCTGTTTTGCCCATCATGTTGTGTCGGTTCGTGACCAGGCACGGCACGGCACGCACATTTATTTTGTTCTTACTGCGATGTATACAACGTTTTGTTCTCCAGTGCGCCAACAGGGTTTGTTTGTGGCGCGGAACGCCAAAAAACATGGCAGGTAGGACATGATCACCCAACAGACAGACAGCTAGTTCTTCCTAATTTCCTCCACTACTTACTCCTACCGTTGCAGCGTTTATTATTGCCACACTTGCATATGATGCCACACCCCATGGACCGATTTTTAATGCCCGATTACTCTGGAGCACAAAGAGTGGCAGTACCGAAAGTGGCGGCGTTGGGACCGTCTCGTCGAGAGCTTTCCGAAAACGTTTTGTGTGACGATGTGGACGACACCCTCCTCGTCCTCCTACTCGACCTTTTTTGACAATCGGCCCAGGGTGTGTGGTATCTTGTGCGACCGCAACTATGTGATCACATTTGTCGCGTTGGCGCAGACCAAAATAGTGAGTTTTGATCCATTGACTATATAGAAACACAAAGCCACCCTAGCTCTACGATCACGACTGTACTCAAAAGAATCATTTCTACAGGTCAGTCTCTGCTTTGTTTATCCAAAACAAGGCAAACCCTCCGATTCCGATGAGGAAGTGAAAGTTGGCAGAGAAGCGATGGTTTGCGGTGTCTAGACATGCCCTGCGCTGTCTAGCTCTGTTTCGATGACCTACGTCTTCTTTTTGGAAAGAAAGCGACTCTACCGACGATCCTGAGGAACGGTGTAGCATACCATCCATCAGCATATTAATCAACCAAGCGACACCCACAACACACAACTTTCATACAACTACGTGCCACGTGACTTTATATACCACACAAGGCACACACAAGCCTCCTCTCCCTCGCTATTACTGCTGCCTGCTGCTGCTGTAGTTCATGTTAGATGGTGTTTTTTTCGTCTCTGCGTGCGTGCGTCGGTCCGCTGTTCTCCTATCTTCTTGCTGTCTCTGTGTGTGCCTCAGGTGCGCATGCCAACTAATCCCCAGAGAGTGCGGGCCGCGGCGAGCGCTGCCGCTGGGACGGCCTTCAGTGTCACGAACGCAATAATAGACAAGGGGCTGAACATTTTTGAACGTTCTTCAAAGGATTAGGGAGCGACGGCGGGGCTAGCTGTATTTACATCTCGGTGCCGTCGTATGGACTGCTGTAGTGTCTAGTGGTTCAGCAGTGGACAGCAGTAAAAATGCAACCTCTCGATGCGAGTCCGACGTTCATATCATTCAGGGGTAGGTGTCCACGCTGACGTGGCTCCAGGCGAAGCGGGTGTGACGATTGTGACACAGGGTTACTGCAGTAGCACTCCTACGGCTGACTGCTGCTGAGGCTGCTGCAGCCGCTGTTGTGTCCTGGACGAATAAAGCGTGGAAAAAACTGTCTTATCTACTGCACAAGCCCGGCTGCCGGGTGTACGCGCCCCTTGTGTGTTGTTTTCGTCCAATTTATTATGGCGACAGTCCCCCCATTTTTCGTGGGGCGACGTGTTCGACACTTTTCAGCGTATGTAGCGTACTACACTTTTCAGTGTATTTTTTCGTACAACCGCAAACACTCTACACCGGTCGCCCCGGTGGTCTAGTAGGTAGCCTCGCAGCCTGCTAAGGGCCAGGTCATGGGTTCGAGTCCCGGCAGAGAGAGTTGTTCTCTCACTAATTAAATCCTGGTCTCCGTTGGAAGCGATGCGCTGCAAAGCTCGTTGCTAAATTAGGGAACCACAATCGACTTCGTAAGTCGCGAGGGAAGGGATTGCTGTACCCTTCTCGCGATGAAAATACCTCAGGCAGGAACCGCAGGAGGGGGTCCAGCCCCCCCCTCCTATGTGACCCCGGTTGGGTCGTCTAGCTAGTAGAAGTGGAGGATAGGGGCCAGAGGGGCAGACGACAGAGTCCAATGGCGGGAGAACAACAAAAACAAAAAAACACGGGAGGGGGTAAATACCAGGGCTCTTTTCTTCTTTTTATTTGACCAATAACCAGAAACGGGTATACCCGGGTACTTTATCACTACTTTAGGGTACAGTTAGAAATCAACACGCTTGCACCCCCAGGCTGTCAGCTGATTGGCCGAAAAACCATTGTACCCATTTCTGAAGAAACCTCCATCAATCAGGTACAACTTCCGCTGGAATTAGGACCCCTGACCGATATTGGTTACTGGTGTACCCGGAAGAGGTCAATTTTGTACCCAGAAATCAAATGGTCATATGATCCCGGTGCCCAACGCTCTAGCATAAAACCCGCAGAAAAAAACGTGTGCCGCACGTACCGTGTACCACACATACATATGCACCGGTCGCCCCGGTGGTCTAGTTGGTAACCTCGAAACCTTCTAGAGGTCAGGTCGGGGTTCGAATCCCGGCATAAGCGAGCTTTTTCTTGCAAAGTGAGTTTTTCTCTCGCTTCCGCTCCTGGCCTAGTGGATAGTCTAGCGCTCGTCCGTGTGAACACAGAGGGAAGAGAGTGCTGAACTCTTCTCGCATTAAAAATCGAAGGCAAAGTACCGCAGGAGGGGAGGGTAGAGAGGGACTCTTCTGTGTGACCACAGGTTGGAGTAAACGGCTTAGTGCACTAGTGCCGTGAGCGCTGATTTGAAGTGAAGACCAATAATAATAAAATATATAAATAAATAAATAAACAACCACAACCACAACCAAACCACCAACAACGCTCGCTCGTTCATCGTTCATGGGCACCGCTTCCATAGATAGGATACCGGCCCTTCTCAACAGAGGGTCGGACTCGCTTGACGCGCGAGTACTTCGGTGTGGTACTGATCAGTAAAAGCACAGAGAGAGAGAGAGTGGCACAGAGAGAGCGAAAAACGGGTACGACAACCTGCCTCGTGCATCATCATGCTTCCGAGGCACAGGACACACAGGACACAGACAACGGTTTATTGGTTTCGCCGCGATCTACGGCAGAAGCTGTCGGAGATTGGTGTCGTCTTGATTTCCAAGTGTACCCTGAAATGGTGATAATCTATCCGGGTGTACCCGTTTCTGTCTGCTTCTCCTCTTTTTTTCCTTTTCATGCCCCACCTTCCTCCTGCGGTGCGTGCTGAATTTCATTTTCATCGCGAGAAGGGTCCAGCCGTCCCTTCCCTCGTCAACGGTGCTGACGTCGAAGTTTGGTACTCCGGTCGCCCCGGTGGTCTAGTGGTATCCTCGTAGTCCGCTAGTCGCAGAGGTCGTGAGTTCGAATCCCCATCCATGGGTTGAAAAATTTACGAAATTTGCCGGCGAAAGCGAAGAAATATAATAAATAGCTACAAAGAACAACATATTTATTGGTGAAATTGAAAGCAAAGCATGAAATTGAGAGCGAGAGCCATAGATGGAAGTGGGGGATCGAGGAGGTTGCAGTAGTGGACCAGTACACATACCT